GACGTCATCAACGTTGAGCTGAGTACATACTTTAAAATTGGTGGAATTATGACTCAATTTAACTGCATTTCATGTACTCATGGTGCATGACATGTACAACTTCAACATGTGAAACCCTATCTGCATTTTGCAACAATAGTCCATCTTTTTTTTTAATCTATATTTTTCTAACGTCTACATTTCATACCGTACAAGTGACTACCTTTCAAATTCTGCAGTACAAAGTTTACAAATACGTCACAATACCCTATGACGTAATTTGTGACGTTTTGTGACCGTAAAAAAATCTTGGACTTCATTTGGACTCTGATCTCTCTTTGAAAGCTCATATTGACACAGTCTGCAAATCCTGTTACTTCCATTTGCGCATCAGCAGCATCAGCAGAAACTCCCTTACTACAGTGGCAGCTCATGCTCTAGTGCGATCTCTGGGTTTTTTTCCAAAATTGACAACTGTAATAGCATCTTCTGTGGTCTTTCCGAAAAACTTCTATTAAAACTCCAGAAAGTACAAAACTCTGCAGCTCGACTTGTCAGCAAAGTTCCCTCAAGGATCCGCATAACGCCTGTTCTTGGGACTCTGCACTGGCTACCAATCAGAGCCAGAATTAAATTCAAGGTCCTAAGTCTTGCCTACCAGCTAGTCACCAAGCACAATCCTTCCAGAATGTTACGATCTTGGGAAGAAACGCTTGATCCTGAGTTCGAATCGACCGATTACGTTTCTAGGTTTCGCAACACGCTCTCCGTGCTCGTTGGTTTTGTCATATCGGTAAACGTCTGAAACCTGAAACACTTTGGCACATTTACTGGAGATGCAAAATAGGGTTTCACAGTGTACCGATTAGAACCATGGTTTCATGAGTGAGCAACTCTCGTCAGCGGCCGATGTTACAAACATATAACACTGTGTACAGAAATAATGTGATTTTATTGATCATTCAAACAGTCTTTCAAACAATGATTCCACGTCTCAACATGAATCAAGTTTCCACCAGATGTGGACTAACAGAATAACAAGAAAATTCAGAGAAGTGAGTTGCATGAAAGATTGAAGGGTCTGGTGCCAAGTGATTGTGGAAATACGATAAAATACGGCCTGCTTTAAATGATCCTGTTCATTAAGAATTGTGTTACAACAAAATACCATATATCAAACAATAGCAATATGATTTTGCTTTGCATCTAAGTGATCCTGAGTCTTTGCCATTAAGAATGGTTCAAATTACTCATGCAATATTATTAAGAACATTTTCCAATATATTTTCAATTTATTTCGGTATACACGTAAAACCGGTTTGCTCACACCGTTTTTCATGTTTATATCCCAACTGTAAACATTTGCTTGACGTTTTATAAATACACAAAGTAAAAGTAACAACCTCATAGACATCTTACTTTAGTATGAACACCCAAACTGGTTGACAACCATACGGAATCACTTATGCTCAAAAATGCAACACAAGCCCCACCCACTCGTTTATCATCCAATCAAAAAACAGTATTCCCGCAGTGGGTGTGACCTAATATCTTTCGGGTTCATTGAAACAATCGCAAAATTCTTGGATGGCAACTAAACAGCCTTGAAAAAAATTCACACTATTTTGTTAAACTGTTTCATCAAATCGGTTGAGTCAAATGATTACTAGTATGGTAAATGGGTGAAACCCAAATTATTGGTTAGGAAATATAATACCTTGAAATAACTCGCCCTATTTTATTAATATGTTTCATCAACTTGGTTCCGTCAAATTATCACTATGGTAAATGGGTGAAACCAGAATTCCGTTCTCAAAACGCAGCATTTGTGTAACAAGAAAATCGGTCATTTTCAAGAAGCAGCGTGACTATCACAAACACCAAATATTGCACTTGACCTTCTGACACACTCAGATCTAAAACAGCTTGCAAAGGCTAACAGGTGTATTGAGCTTATGGATATAAGCTGAAAGACAAAAACAAGTTAACGATAACGATATGAGATCAGTGTTCTATATCTACACAACAGTTGTTGTTGATCGACCCGTCTGAACTGTGGGCATACTGCCGAAACCATGTTTAAACAAACTTTGCAAAATAAATTGGATGTTCATTATCTTATACAGGTTTGATTAGCACAAAACATTCATTTTATTCTAACTGTTTGCATCGGACAGACACATGTAATATTCTAGAATATGCATATATCTGAAGCTTCTAAGGAAACATGAAGGCACGTCGATTCTGTTATTCTACATCTTGCACATAGAAGCTACAGACGATGGCCAACAGTAAATGAACACTACGTTGGAAATGGGTGAATAAATGATATAACATATAACTACCATGTGTTTATGGATGTACAAATAAATCAGCGTAACCATCACCAGTTATATTTAAAATGCGATTGAAAACTATATGTTTATTGCTTCAAAAACACTAGGTTTAGTCAAGCATTATTGAAGCTTTTCCCAATACACGTGTCCAGACAACAATTCAGATGATGAAACGAGAACGAGCAGTTTTGATGTTGTTTTCATTTTTTCAGTAGACTCTTGAACTTGACACTTGAGCTCTATTTGGTCAGGGTTCACGCCGCGTTGAAGAGTATTACATACATATAACAGTATCAGCGTAATGTGGGACGTACCTCCACGCGGTGAGGGTAGAGTTATAAACCAATGAGGATGGGTGTTACCAAAGGTCATAATCTGGCCAGTATTGCACCACGTAAGCTAAAATCATGACGGTAACTCGTGAAATGCATGGACTTCAAGAGTTGTATTGCAAGAATACAGGTACAATGTATCTAGTTAACCGAGGAAGTGTTAAATGGGAAACATGGTGCAAATTTATGAAAACATCTACAATAATTTCAGCAATACTGAAACATCTCACACTGTCGTGTTATTCAATAATACTTGGATTGCATTCTTCTGTGATTGTGCTCATTGGGAAGCGGATGTGCGTTAAGGTGAAGACGAATAAGGGTTTAGGTTTAAGATTCCTACCTATTGTTAACTTATTGCTTGTGAAGGCGATAAGGAAACCATGGAGTGAAAACTCATTTTCACGAACCAAGGGCTGTCATTAAAATGCTTTACTTTCAATGCCAACAAGGAGTGAGCTGGGGTCAACGCCAGTAACAGTATCCCAGTTATGTAACGGATGTAAGCTAAATGGGGAGGAATGCCAGACGTTCAGGGCTTCACACGTTGTACTTATGTAGGCGATCGGTGTAACGAGTGAACGCTTTAACCGACCACTCCACCGACCCCTGAAACATCAAGTTAACCGAGTTCGAGTTTACGAGGTTCCACCGCTTCGAGTCACGGAGTAAAGTTCATTGCACTGTGAATACAGAAACATACTTATCACCACAAACAACATGTAATGTGCCATAGATTTGAAGGATTCATCTCAAGAGAAGGGCTAATACCAAAGGAACAGTCACCGGTACTGTGGTGATTCATATGAAACAATATATACACTAGTACATAACATATTGCAACAAGGTAAGAATAAAAATATGTAAGACAAGGTAGCACTCATACGTTCATTCATATCATGGCATTGCTAACAAAAGGAAATTCAACAGTGAGAAATTGTGTAGTACAATGTGGCTGAAGTGCCCAATATCATGTTGAGAAACACCTCACTACTACTCAAATGGCATGGCTACATCATATCAAATAACATGAACATTGCACAGATGGGATTTATATATTTTTGAGTGAGAAAGGTGTTGATATGGTTTAGTATGATTGTCGCAGCTGAACCTGTCTGAGGAGCTTACATATTAAGTATATACCGTTGACGACGAAGAGCATGAAACAGTTCATTGCACGAGGGAAGCAAAATGTCGTCCGGTCAAAATCTTTTACCAAAATTTCATACCCATTGATCACAGAAATTATTGTTGTTGTTTGGATACCCTTCTCACTGCCAGGGCTTTACTTCATAATGACAACCGGAAGATATTTTTTCTGAAACAAAGACACATTCGTTCGATTCGAATCATTGTGGCAATGCCAACAACTGCTGATAGTCTCTGCTTCGAGAGCCACTTTAAAATAGTTCAGATATCGTCCAAATAACCACAGGAATTCCGCCCAATAAAATATGCATTCACCTTCAGATATGCTATATAGCTGATATAGTCCAATTAACCAAAGGAATTCCATCCAATAACTTGTGCATTCACCTTCAGATATGCTATGTAGCAGGTATAGTCCAAATAACCAAAGAAATTCCGTCCATTAAGCTATGCATTCACCATCAAATACGTTTTGTAGTTGGTATATAGTCCAATTAAACCACATGAATTCCATCCAATAACCTAAACATTCTCATTTAAATATGGTATATAGATGGCTTTAGTCCAAATCACCACAGGAATCCCGTCCAATAAACTATGCATTCACCTTGATATATGCTTTATAGCTGGTATAGTCCAATTAACCACCGGAATCCCGTCCATATCCTAAGCATTCTCATTCAAATATGGAATATAGATGGTATAGTCCAATTAACCACAGGAATTTTGTCCTAAAAGCATACCTACACCTTCAGATATGCTTGAAAGCTGGTATAGTCCAATTAACCACAGGAATCCCGTCCAATGACCTAAACATTCTCATTCAGATATAGTATATAGTTGGTATAGTCCAAATCACCACGGGAGTTTTGTCCAATAAGCTATTCCTTCACCTTCAAATACGCTTTATAGCTGGTATAGTCCAAATAACCACAGGATGCCCGTCCAATAAGCTAAGAATTCACCTTCAGATGTGCCATGTAGTTGGTATATACACAATATATTATCTTTCATGCAGTACATGTAGTACCCCGCATCTAGTTGCAATGTTTAAACCATACACATGGTATACAATTCCTTCTACTCCGTCACAAAATAAAGCATCACAACCCTTGTCACTGTTGTTTGTCAATGCATCAACAGGAATCATATTCTAACAGGAGTTTGTCGTTATTATGTTCCATTTGTCAAATAACCTGACCCTTGTCCACCATTGTCCACCAGTTCCATGTTATTCAACGTTGATGTAATACAGCCAGTACACCATTATGAACAATATGAATGCCACGGGGAAGCCGATTCTGGAAGCCACATCTAAGTACATGGCGTAGACTATCCCACGTTTGCCCGGCCGCTTTGTGCTATAGCTGTCTCGAGGTGTGCCGCCGCCGTCCAACGGTGAGGATTGCTGCAAGAGAAGACACACACTGATGTACGTATTCTGGTGGAAACAAATGCAGTAGCACATGCAAAGACGTGATTTCCAACTTCGGTCATTCGTTAGTAAAGGTTCCACTAAATCAGAATCACATGCTACCTGAGCGAGAACAGTATGTAAACATCTGAAGAGATAGAGACATGTGACAGCTGTGATTGGATGAAATAGTGTAAGATTTTTATGTTTTTCAACATCACATCCATCCAGTAATTAAAACTGACCACAATTTTAAGTATGTCTTGCGGTCATATTTATCACCATGATGTATGCTTATTGTGTGTACAGATATTTTCCAGTAGGTGACATTTGGTGCGGAACTTGGATTGATGTGTTCCGCTTCCTCTGCTAGGAAAATTAGCAGGATAAGTTAGCTGGAAATTGTGTTTTTATTGTAGTTTAAAGGCCAGACTACCCATGTATACATGGTTGTTCACAGCCTGGATGATTTTTAAAAATGTAACGTTACTATAGAAGTCTATGGGGAAAACATTTGGTGTTGTGTAACCTGAAGGTTTCACATTATCTGGATACCCACGAAGAACCGTTTTATAATTGGTCTTCGGCAACGCATGCTTATCGTAAGAGGCAACTAACGGGATAGGGTGGTCAGGCTCGCTGATTTCGTTGACACATATCATCGTATCCAAAATGTGTAGATAGATGCTCATGATGTTGAATACTGGATTGTCTTGTCCAGGCTCGAATATTTATAGACCGCTGCCCAGTGGTTAAAACGTTCGCTCGTCATGCAGAAGACCCCGGGTTCGATTCCCCTCATGGTTACGATGTGTGAAGCCCATTTCTGGTGTCCCCCGCCGTGATATTGCTGCAATATTGCTAAAAGCAGCGTAAAACTGAACTCACTCACTCAGAGCAGGATTTAACCCAACTCACATCCTAACAAGAAGCTACATTTACCTCTTTCAGCTGATCCCCTTTTTCCAAATCTCTAGGAATACTGAACACATTGCGTATCGTGAAACCAGAGAGGGTTTCCTTGCGGCTCAAGACGTTGACTATAGCAAACTCCAGCAGTGCGGCAAAAACAAACACCAGACAGGTGGACATCCACACGTCAATAGCTTTGGTGTATGACACGCGCGGAAGTGAGGCGTTGACCCCTGAACTTTGCGTTGTCATGGTGAGAACAGTAAGTACGCCCAATGAAATGCGGCCTGGAACTGAGTTGACGGTGAGCCAGAATGAGATCCAGGACAGCATGACGATAAGGATGCTGGGGATGTACATTTGGACGACGTAGTAGCCGATGTTGCGAGCGAGGAAGAAGTTTGCCTGGAGGCAACTGTGAACGCCTGTAAACAAAGACAAAACATTAACAGCATAAACAGAACTGATGAAAAAATACACAAACACTGTGAAAGCGTAATGGATTTCCTGTACACATGTGCGTAAAATGATAGTGATTTCAATGTTGAAAATATTAAAGTGTCAACATTTTGTTTTGGTAATAGGGGTGATTTTACCACATTCTTATGTAACAGAGTGAGGTAAAGACTTCACCGTATGGAGTGATCATATTGTTACATATCTTATAAGAGGAACACACTGCCTGCTCCAAGCGCTCTAAGGAAGTTTCCGAATATATATAATTGAAAGGTGTTCAGCTTTGTTAACCAGTTACAATTCTTGCTTATAGGACCACTCTACTTCTATAGAAGTATATCGCACATACGATGCCACGTCACTAGCCAAAATAACTCGATAGAAGTTCAACGTTTTTATTTTTCCTACCCACATACTCGATTCCCATCACAATATTTGACACGTATTCTTTGCGTTTTCTAGTAATATATGCGAAGAGGTATACCACCAAATTTTATTTTCTATAGTATACATCCATGTTGGATTCTGATTGGCTGAGCAATATTGTATAATTCCAGATGTACCCAGGTGACCTATTACCTATAATTCTGTTGTAACTTTGTCGACCGATAGTCGTGCTGTGGATCACCTGATTGTCTGGTCCAGACTAGATTATATACCGCCGACATATAGTTGGAATATTGCTGAGTGCAGTGTAAAACTGAACTCACTCACTCACTCACTCACTCACTCACTCCGCTGACATAGTTTCGTTTTGTAGGTTATCAGAAAGTCCCAATCCCAATCCCTCTAATCAGTGACATCCCACAGATTTTTCCTCGCCGATGCGTGTAATATGATTGGTTGGGTGTCTTTCGCTTCCATACTAGCGATCGAACTAGTTTCGGGTATTTATGAATATAGAATGGAGAAATGGTGTCGATGACATAATTACCTGTGCTCTGATGGTATTTCTTCCTGCATCTGTTGGCTTCGGATCCTGTCACTTCAAACTGAGGCAACTCCACGATGTCGTTAACAACAACGGGCTCGCTGTTAGACGAATTCATCCATTTAAGGTTGAGTTTGTCCTCGGCGTATCCGACTGCAAATATAAATGTTAGGTTGCATTATGACATTTTACCCACAGGCCCTCGCGTCTCTGCGAGGATTAAAGATTAAAATCAATAAAATTTTGAGATGACCCTCGACTCGAGATACTTCACAGTACAATAAGTCACGAAGCATTTCGTGTCGGCGGTTATCTCAATATGTTTTATTTCAATTTATTTTTTAACCTATAATCCTCGCAAAGACACGAGGGCCTGTGATTTTACCTGCATCTGACTCAATATTTACGTTGAGAGACCAGAGATACGAATAATAAATGAACGCAGTGTTAAGTGAAATGGTCCTTGTCCTCAACTGATAAGCAAAGCTCTGCAGCGGTATACTGGCGTATAGCAATAACCAACCCATAAACAAATATTAGTAGTTAAAATCAAATATCTAAAAACAATGATAAACTTTTAAACTGATAAACTGGCGATACTTGTAAACATAAGACTATCATTTCAGACAAGCCAAACAATGAGAGCAAGACTCACTCATACCCAGACCATAACTCCCTACTTCAACTGTACAACAGTTAATAATGATTATTGTTGAAAACATTCAAGATTTTTATCACACTTTGCAGTGCACTTTTCTTATAATCTGAGAAGCCATTACCGAATCCGAACATCCATTAAATGATTGTAAAGTTATTGGTTGAACAAATTTGAGTTCAAGAGTTTGTGATAATTCTCGATCAATCAAAAATATCAAAATACAATTTTGCACAACACCTCCTACAGATGTGGAGGGTAATCAACGGATTAGAAATCAATCTATTGAAATGTGTTCACATTTTTGTTTGAACTAAAATTCCCTTGGTTTCTTTTTAATTTCAAAATATGCAAACTGTCGCAACTCTTTCAAAAATAAGAAAATCGGAACCATACTTTCGATTCCCCACATGGGTACAATATGTGAAGCCCATTTCTGGTGTCCCCCGCCGTGATATTGCTAGAATATTGCTAAAAGCGGCGTAAAACCATACTCACTCACTGAAAACATTGTGACCATACTCCTCATGTTATCGGTTGAACAAAAATGTTTCCGGACGGTTCCTTGGTATAAGTACATACCCTCGACTTTTATAGGCTGGGGGTTTACAAGTGATAATCAGTCATAATAAAATCCTACAAAACGCTAAAATTGATTTGTCAAAGGAAGTAGGTCAATTTCAATGCATGGCTACACCAAATATCGCAATATGACAAACTGGATGTTATATTTGCGTAAGAAATGGACTTCACACATTGTACCCATGTGGGGAATCGAACCTGGGTCATCGGCGTGACGAGCGAACGCCTTAACCACCAGGCAGCGCCACTGTCACTGTTTTTTAGACTCAGTTACAATGTGCAATTATTGCATTACAGTGTACACGAGAACAGATCAAATGTTCTCGTTTGTGATATCCTAGGCTAGTTCGGCAAAATTGTATTGAAATAGAAAATGCAATATTCAGAGGCCCCAATGAAATATCCTGATGAATTTCTTTTAAGCACTGAGTCGCATTGTTTATAGGCATGCACAATCCCATGCGATTGAAAGAAAACAAAACAATTACATTAAAACCTAAAACCTTATCAGATTAAATGTTTCAATCAATTTCACTTTTTAAAACTTTTTTCTTATGTGTTTTTAACATAAACTGTATTTAGTCATAAATTGATGTCGAACCTAATCAAATTTACCCGTATAAAAAGAAAATCAATTAATTTCAATTATATTATTGCCAATCAATCAAATCAGCGAAAAAGTGACCACCGCAATCTAATGCCCGTCATTTGGTCAATTCGACAAACAGACAATCGGATGACGGCTCAAAGGATGACGGCCATAAGAGGCAGTATCATTCCGACCTCCCTCCCCAGGGTTACTCAAGGGCGTGACCAGCGTTTAATGATGCAACGATGCGTCCAGTGTTCATCATTTGCTAATCAATCACGAACGGGAGAGACCGTCTACAAATACAACCCCAAGGGGACCAAAGCAATTTCCCTTGCTCCCAGTAAACAGGTTCTCCTGAATGTATGCGATAATGGCGCGTGCGCAGGTGCTGCGATGACAATACTTACAGCTCATGATCTGGACCGAACACGACTGTTTGTCGAATGGATAGTACCGCAGGTTCATAGGGCAACTCAATGTCATCGATAACCTAAAATTAAACGAAAGAAAGATCATCAAAATCTATTCGAAGCTGATCTCACCGCTTCAACCTGAAGGCACTCTATTTGGCTGCAATAATACAGGAATTAAATTAATTTGGACCGGGGACATCTTCATGGGTTCATTGTATAGTCTCTCTTTGGGTCTCTTTCAAAAGGCATCTTGGGTCGTCGCAATACATTTAATTACGACAGCGTGAGAGAAATTACAGTCAGGATAGGGTATGATTTGGTGGATTCTCGAAAGGGTGTCAGCTCTTTGATCTGGTGGTGCTTAGATCTGGTAGCAAGGAAACACTGAATGACATCAAGAGTTGTACTGTGATGACCATCGTCTTACCAGAATGCTTGATGAGGGAGTGTGGGGGTGGAAGTGGGGCAACTGTTTGTGTGGGGAGACATATTCCGATGAGTTATTGAGTATGGGTTACTTGGCTTGTATAGTGATATTCCAATAAGCACCATCTGAAATTGTCTTCACTCATTCTGGATGGTGGGGAATCTACTGTCTTCGCTCTGTCCGTGTTTGAGGGAAATTCGGCGGGACTAGCAAACACTTTAAACACTTGAAAATCTCCACATTGCCCGTGAGGTACATGTGATGCAAAAATACCATTTTCCAAAATATAATTTCTTATTACAATACCCCCGTGAAGATCCGGGTTAGACTTGGTCTTAAGTAACCCATGCTTGTCGCAAGAGTCGACTAACGGGACCGGGTGGTCATGCTCGCTGACTTGGGTGACACATGTCTTCGAATCCCAGCTACGTATATCTATGCTCATGATGCTGATCACTGGATTGTCTAGTCCAGACTCGATTATTTACAGACTGCCGCCATATTGCTGATGTTATTAGATGTTGTATATGTGTAGAAATGGTGGAATGTCTTACATATACTGATAGTGCGTTGATGCCCATCGGGTTACATCCTGACATCATCATTTGAAATATTTGGTTTTAATAAAATCATTTAATATTGAGCAATAAATAAATGAACCCGACTCATGTGTTTGAAGCGTTCATAACATTTCAATTTCCCATACTGGGAGTCGAACCACGAATCTTCTGATACCATGTCGGACACCTTAAAACTACTAAATCGGTTAATACATACAGTAAACAGACAAAGAAAGTTCCATGTGACCAGCTAAGTGGCAGGTATATGCTCTTTATAATACTTTGTCAGCAACATGCAAGTGAACTTGATCCGTTTTAGAAATGATCCCCAGCAGCCCATGGTTGTCGTAAGAGGCGACTAACGCCACTAAATTCAAGCTCATTGACTTGGGTGACATGTCATCGCATCTCAACGCATGGATGCTCACTGTGTCAATCACTCTATGTCCAGTCCAGAATTGTTTATTTATAGCTATACGCAGAATGCCGCGATAAACAACAAACAATCAATGATCGCAAGGGAAACACCGTCATGAACACATAACGTACAATTCAAATCCTGGCACTTTCTCGTGTCTGAAAAGCAACAACATTTAACACTCAGCTACATGATCAGCAATGTGTACAGAAGGATCCCAGTGTACAAGGGCAGTTTTATGGTAGTCGTAAAACATGATGACGCGTTACTTACCTGGATATGTAGAGAATCAAACCGTCACGATACAATCGCATCATCTGATTGGCCATCATGACGTCATGGAAGCTTGCCTTTTTTTCGTTCGGGAAGAATATATCTGGCACCCATATCCTTTGAATACTTTGTGAGTCGAATTCGAGAAATGTAAGATTTCCAAATGAGGGACCAATGTTAAAGCTGACAAGACGTGTGTCCTTCCATTGTAGATGCAGTAAGACACTTAAGGTAAAGTCCTGCAACACAAGTGGAGATATACAATGAGTATATAATAGGTTTGCATATACAGTGAATCCTGGATGCATCGAACATTCCGCGGTTATTTCTGAGCTCGTTTATCTCAACACCCGTTAATCCGAACGATTTCACACGAAGTGCTATCGTTCGGCTTAACGGGGTTCGGATTAATGTCATAAAAGTGTTATTATCACCAAACAAAGATGTCCTTGAAACTGATATTCTTAGTCCCCTTTGTAATATTGCATAAAAAGGAAAACAGATCTCTATGATTAGGTGACGATTCACAATCGTTACAAAGTAAATGTTGTGGCTATCCTCGACAGTTTGAAATTTAATGAATTGGTTCAGATTTTCAGATTTAGTCTCGCATATTTGCGAAAGAAGAAATAGAATCGACTAACATGTCTTTGATAAGCGAACTAAACTTTACTCACTCAATTATTGTCATTATATTTTTTTTATACATAATTATTTACGCATCGTCAGAAACGTTTTGAACCCTGAGTCTAAATTACAGCAGTAATCTAAGCCTTTAAAAACAAGGAACGGTTCTCAGGTAAAATCCTTTACAAATAGATAACATTATCTTTCTTTGATTACAACAAAGTAGTATATGCGAGGAAGAAAACTCTCAAAAAGATCCGTGTAATATCATATCCAGAATACACGAGAAATATCAAAACATACCATCGATTTTCTTCTTACTTTATTGAGTGTTAAGGAATCTCCCTAAGATATAAACGCTGTTGGAAGTGTTAAGAAGAATTTATTAATATAACCGAGAGCTTGATACTTCTTCAGCATCCGTTTAATTTCTATCAAAGAAATGGTTTGATAAGGACCCTTTGGCCCAAATTATCTATACCAATATAAATTAAAAATCTTCAGGCAAGTTACCAGGAGCATATCCATATAAATAAATACAAGGCTTTGTTTGTGTAATAACATGAATATTTAAGACTTGTGATAACAAATGATATGGTAACGTGAAGCTAGAACATTTTAGGAAACACTTTAGGAACACTTCAGTATGAGAAGGTCTTTGACCCAACTGATACTCTCAGATAAACTAAGTTGGTTGGCTAGGTGGCTAGGTGGTTTGTTGTTTAACGCCGCACTCAGCAATACTTCAGCTATATGGCGGCGGTCTGTAAATAATCGAGTCTGGACCAGACAATCCGGTGATCAAGATTATGAGCATCCATCTGTGCAGTTGGGATACGATGACGTGTGTCAACAAAGTCAGCGAGCCTGACCACCCGATCCCGTTAGTCGCCTCTTACGACAAGCATGGGTTGCTGAAGATCAATTCTGACCCGGATCTTCACTGGTCAGATGTGCATGAAGACAGTACAAATACAAGTTTCGTGTCTCACTTGGTTCACGGGCCTTTTTTCTGTTGAAATTGGAAACTTCTCTTTAATTTTTCAAACCATTCTTATTTAAATTTGTGAGATTTATACACTGAAGTGTAGGAAGTAACATCTGGGCATGTCGTATGATATGCCAGTGTGTATCTATACTACTTCAACACTATATACCAGTAACTTTCAGGATTGCCACATACCATATTTGCTTCGTTGATGGAGTCAATGCTATCCACGTATAACATAACCTCGATATCTGTTGCCGTTTCTGAAAACAATAAAATATAAATGAGTATGATGATAAACAACAAAAAATAACCATAGCAACAACAAACATGCGGTCTGCTATTTGGCGCAAAACTCAGTGCTCAGTGCGCATAGCCTTATACATATGAGCCCGGTCAACGATTTTGTGTGCATTCAAATTGCATTCTCGTCTCCTTGGAGAGAATAAAACCCAAGCTGCCCGTTATCGAGTGGTGAAGTTCTTTAATTACTATGAAACCATTTAGATTTGTATGTAACAGGAATATAAAGTCTGTGTATACAAAAATGCCAGAGGATGTTTATGTTCGAGAAACTCATGTTTTGTCCAGTTGCGCATTATACTTTACGTACCATGGGGCTTATAAATAGATTGTTATAATCTAAATGCGAAAAGTCTCCGACAGAGAAACAGGACCACTCTGTCTACTGAAACAGATACCACTGGGCGAAAAACGCGAAACAGCGGTGAAAACCATATCAGTGGATCCCTTAATGTCAGTGATGACACCAGTGTTATGAATGAACATTGTATAGCCATAGTGTCTATGTCAATGCAGCTCAAAGATAAATGACAATATATTAAAAAAATATAAAATATGTACTTTACCTCATTGCGTCATGAAAAGTGTCACTGGTGTGTGAATGAGAGAAAGAGAATCTGTGTGTCTGTGTGTGTGCCTTAAGCCATTCCAGCATTGTCAGGGTACACCAGAAATGGAAACTACGCTGAGAGTCGAACACGGGCCTTAGGCGTGACGAGCGAACACTTTAAACCCCTAGATATCAATGAGATATTTACCCTTATATCAATGAGACAGAAATCAAACCATTCATAAACACGACCGGATATCTTAATTCAAGATACGTTAACTGCATTATTGCATCATGCCTCATCAATAACAGAAAACAGAGGCAATGACGATCCTCAAATATGACTTTTACTTGGACTCTAATGATTTAACAACTAAATGTGGGCTGCAAGATAAATGTACCTGTATTGAAATACCAGTTAATTACAAAAGGTGTTTCACCTGTATATACACGTAATTTGAATATGACTAAGGCAACTTCTTTTTGCTCGATTGCGTCGCCTTTTCTAATTTGAAGAATAATACTTTGCTGTGAAAGTATGATAACCTTCTCCATCGTTTTGTGCATGAGTACATTGGGAAGATCTAGAAAAGGTTGACAGGGAAATCTCATTAACAAGAATTCCCTATCGGGCCAACATATATGGTTAAATGTCGGAAGTAGCACGGACTGGCCAGTCATCTTTGTTGCGACGCTTGGGTACGCCTGAAACCTATGATTGTGGGTTCGAATCCCTGTTTGCCCCGACAATGCTTCCAAGTATGTCAACACCATACATGTGCTCGTGGATTTCACCAAAGTGATAATCGCCATGCATCACTTCGGGCTTTCATCCGACCTCAAGCTGATACACCTTGATATGACTTGAATATTGTTCAAAGCAGTAACTCACTCACTGACTCTAATACCAGCATCCGTTGTTCTCCAAAGTTATACAGTTATATTCATTTTTTGTAAAGGATTCGAATTAATGTGGTTTCGCTTTATGAAATGACACATTGATCTGGAAACAACGCGAAAGCGAATCAAAATTTTTTGACTCGGCACTGGAAATCCCATTATCATACGAAAATATACGAATGCATACATGTCCAATAGTACTATCAGCCAGACGTTCAAGAAACGTACAAAAACAGTTTCAACTGCACCTTATTATATTTGATTTCCTTAAAGGCTAGCTTGTTCTTACACATTACCCATAATATCACAAAATAATTGCACTCAAAGCACTCAAAATCCATAGTACGAAATTAGAAGGAATGCGTGCACTTCAAATCCATCCACGTGAGTTCTAATGTAACACCGCCAGGCAATAAAAAACATCAGCAACATTAATTGGTCGAAAAATTTGAACAATTGAAACAACTAGGTGCAGTTTGAGTAAAATATGCTAACGTAATGGTACATTTCTTCTCAAGAGCTCCAGATCGTACAAGACACTCGGCGGCCCAAAGGAATTCAGTTGGATGGCAACCAACATCAGGGCTCTACTGAAGGATTGATGGGAGGAACTGTGTAAATTTCATGAAGGATTCCAGATGCCTGTAATTGCTACACTATTCAAAAAAGGATATCAGCTTCATTTTTTACTGTCAGAATGATGTATAACATCAGGGATCAGTATCCTATTATACAAGAAACATTGACACCCGTGGAAGAAATACTGATATGTGTCAATACAAACCGATCAAATCCGTATTTACGGTACCTTCTGACGTATTGATATCCAATGTTGCATCAATTACGCCTTTAAGATGAATAAGGATCAGCATTATTAGCCGTGTGGGTCGCGTCGACATGAATAACGCCACCGGATGTACCTCTGATTTATGTACGTGGCTGTTTACCATGTAGAAAGCCTGAACTAGCAGATGTTGTTTGAGTCAGAATGCCGCACTGCCTTTCTATGTTAATGAATGTAAAGATCTAGTGGCCTTTGTCTTGTTTATTATTACGTATTTTGAGCTGACATGTTTGTTGCTGATGGCCTAGAGTCCTTTAGAATATAGATGAAGCTGTTCAGAAACGTGTACTGTAAGCGTTAACGTATTCAAGACGTGTATGTGGGTGAATATTCCAAAGTTGTATATGGGTGAATATCCCACAGTTGTATGTGGGTGAATATCCAACAGTTGTATATGGGTGAATATCCCACAGTTGTATGTTGGTGAATATTCCACAGCTGTACGTGGGTGAATATTCTACAGTTGTATGTGGGTGAATATCCCACAGCTGTAAGTGGGTGAATATCCCACAGTTGTATGTGGGTGAATATCCCACAGTTGTATGTTGGTGAATATCCCACAGTTGTACGTGGGTGAATATCCCACTGTTGTTTGTGGGTGAATAATCCACAGCTGTATGTGGGTGAATATCCCACAGTTGTATGTTGGTGAATATCCCACAGCTGTACGTGGGTGAATATTCCAGAGCTGCATATGGGTGAATATTCCACAGTTGCATGTTGGTGAATATCCCACAGTTGTATGTTGGTGAATATCCCACAGCTGTATGTGGGTGAATATCCCACAGTTGTATGTAGGTGAATATTCTACAGTTGGATATTAGTGAATATTCCACAGTTGTATGTGGGTGAATTTAGTTAAAAGGGAGCGATCGGCAATATTACATATAATTATGGTTTTCCTGTATATAATCGTAAACTGGTTGGATAAACTTGTGCTTGATAGCATGAACAACGTCTTGCGATAGGGTTTTATAAAAGGCAGGCAACACCAGACAATATAGCCGTCACGAACGATGATGAGAGATGAGAGTCACCGGTTAAAAGTAAGACTTGCTCGTAACTGGATCTGGAACCTATGGCAGAAATAACATAACGGTTATCTTCGCGGTAGTTAAATCCTGTGGTGATTCAGTGTGAAAATGTCCTCCGCATGTCCACCATAAACGTTTTGAAAGCCTGAAGCCTTGAATGCTGTAATCCCGATCAAACAAGTTGTGTCTATTGACAGACTATAAAATCTCCGCCCAGCAGGGTACTGGATAATTGCCTGATAAGGCGGGTAATTCGGAATTAACGCTCCTGCTATACATAACTGTAAATGAACGAAATCATCCTTATTACTTACCGCCCTTCTGTTTGTTTGACATACACCCCACTCCGTACTGCTCAAAGCAATTCAAACAAGATCTGCGGTCTTAAACGCCGGTTTACAAAAACATTAAACATTTCATTTTACGATGGATCAGCAAAGATAAATTTAAATTACCAATAACATGATTTATTAACATTAATAAATTATGCAATCATAAAAAGCATCGTATAAGACAGCTGGTTGACATGCGTTATTTGTCACCCCAATTTCAAAGTTCTTAAGAAAACATTCAGTATTTTGCTGATTAATTAAGATAATTTTGACAGCATGGTTCCTACAAGCCTCTAAAAGAAACAAAAAATTAGGAGATGTATTTTACAGGTGAGTGAACATGACCACAGCTGGTCGGAATGAAATCCCCGAGAATAAATGCAATTTCAAACATTTGGAGTACTTCGCAACCTCACTTACAGGCCGTGTGGCATGTGCGTTATTTACCAATCTCCACTGACCCCAGGTGCCCGTGAGCATGCACCAAGTACTAATGCCAGAGCTTAATAAGTTAAGGCAACATTCGTCCAAACACTGTATCATCACGCGGATCTAAAACACCGGCTTACGGCGAACTGCATTTCAATGACCTCAACATTAAAGACTACTGCTCCACTATGCCCAATCAACTGTATAAACATCTATCTCCTGTCTAAACTACACCCTTTGATTTGCACATCTCTGGCTTCCACGCCTTTCCTAACAGGCTTTATCAGCTTACTACCAAGTCAATTATATAAATTATGTTGTTTTCTTTGCTACATTCAGCATATATCCATCCCCGACAACCTCACTTTACACTTCTGCTTGACGCCGGTACAAGAATCTGTACAGAAAGGTCGCACTCACGAATATATGAAGTTATGTGTATACAGGTTTGACAATCTTGCACTTCCAACTTCTAAAATCCCGCTAAAAGAAGTTACATTATTGGAAATGGTGTCATCAGTGGGCCATTTTAAATATTGTTAAGAGGAATATTTTGTCTTAATATTAATATATTAATATGAATATATTATGAATACTCAGGAATGTTGGCGCAACAAACATATCCATATGTCTTTGCGATTTTATCTTAAAAGCGGTACACTGTTAAAATGAAAGCAACCTCGATCGACTTTTTAAGTGAAGTGCCTGTTATCGCACTAGATCCTGTGATGATCAACTTATATGCATGGGTAAAAATTCAGAGGTTACGTGGTGAAGCCAGGTTGTCCGAAACCCTTTTACAAACATTCCTTTATATAATTTGCATGTGACGTAGTTGAAACTTAAAGGCCTGGAAGTACGTACGAGTGCAATTCCAGGAAGAATCATTGCCTAGGAAACATCAGAGCCCTTTGCTCTGGTACTTGTTAAATCTATTTTGGAACTGAATCGGGGGGATTATGGCAGCCCGGTAACGCAAGGTGTTATAGCCGTGTTCCCACACACTACAGCCTTTCAGGCACGTTGATAACATCAACGCAGAGATAGAAACAGAAGAACTGGAAGGGTCTGGTGTTAGAGACAGATGCCTGCTGGTGTTGAATGCAACAGGCGGTTACCTGAGTTATAGTTTGGGGGCGTGTTCTTGACATCCTGGTCACCTGTCTTGGCGGTATTCAGAAGTAGTTCCAAAAGTTGAGATCTGAAAAATAGCAATGACAATTGTTGGGAATATGTGACACTCAAGCATCAAACACAGACAGAAAACTAGGGCATAATCCAAACGTTTTAAACATTTCGGAGGCGGCACGGATGGGTTGTGCGACTTGGGCACCGCAATTTGCTGTTCAGGGTGTTGTTGTACACAACAACCTTAGCGCAAAGACTAGTTTAAGTCTATGTTAAAATATTGGAGTTACGGTCACCTTAGCGCAAAGAAAAGCTTAAGTCTATGTTAAAATATTGGAGTTACGGTCACCTTAGCGCAAAGACTAGCTTAAGTCTATGTTAAAATATTGGAGTTACGGTCACCTTAGCGCAAAGACTAGCTTAAGTCTATGTTAAAATATTGGAGTTACGGTCACCTTAGCGCAAAGACTACCTTAAGTCTATGTTAAAATATTGGAGTTACGGTCACCTTAGCGCAAAGACTAGCTTAAGTCTATGTTAAAATATTGGAGTTACTGTCGCCTTAGCGCAAAGACTAGCTTAAGTCTATGTTAAAATATTGGAGTAACTGTCGCCTTAGCGCAAAGACTAGCTTAAGTCTATGTTAAAATATTGGAGTTGCTGTCGCCTTAGGGCAAAGACTAGCTTAAGTTTATGTTAAAATATTGGAGTTACGGTCACCTTAGCGCAAAGACTAGCTTAAGTCTATGTTAAAATATTGGAGTTACTGTCGCCTTAGCGCAAAGACTAGCTTAAGTCTATGTTAAAATATTGGAGTTACTGTCGCCTTAGCGCAAACACTAGCTTAAGTCTATGTTAAAATATATTAGTTACTGTCGCCTTAGCGCAAACACTAGCTTAAGTCTATGTTAAAATATTGGAGTTACGGTCACCTTAGCGCAAAGACTAGCTTAAGTCTATGTTAAAATATTGGAGTTACTGTCGCCTTAGCGCAAAGACTAGCTTAAGTCTATGTTAAAATATTGGAGTTACTGTCGCCTTAGCGCAAAGACTAGCTTAAGTCTATGTTAAAATATTGGAGTTACTGTCGCCTTAGCGCAAAGACTAGCTTAAGTCTATGTTAAAATATTGGAGTTACTGTCGCCTTAGCGCAAAGACTAGCTTAAGTCTATGTTAAAATATTGGAGTTACTGTCGCCTTAGCGCAAACACTAGCTTAAGTCTATGTTAAAATATTGGAGTTACTGTCGCCTTAGCGCAAAGACTAGCTTAAGTCTATGTTAAAATATTGGAGTTACTGTCGCCTTAGCGCAAAAGACTAGCCAAGTCTATGTTAAAATATTGGAGTTACTGTCGCCTTTAGCGCAAAGACTAGCCAAGTCTATGTTAAAATATTGGAGTTATGGTCACCTTAGCGCAAAGACTAGCTTTAAGTCTATGTTAAAATATTGGAGTAACTGTCGCCTTAGCGCAAAGACTAGCTTAAGTCTATGTTAAAATATTGGAGTTACTGTCGCCTTAGCGCAAACACTAGCTTAAGTCTATGTTAAAATATTGGAGTTACTGTCGCCTTAGCGCAAAGACTAGCTTAAGTCTATGTTAAAATATTGGAGTTACGGTCACCTTAGCGCAAAGACTAGCTTAAGTCTATGTTAAAATATTGGAGTTAAGGTCACCTTAGCGCTATGATCTCTTTGAACAATGGCACGCATATCTATGTTCTTAAGAGACGACTAATCAATGGGATCGGGTGGTCAGGCTCTCTGACTTGGATGACACATGTCATCGACAAATACTTGATCCCCATGTTGTTGGTCACTGGATTGTCTGGTTCAGACTCGAATATTTACAAACCGCCGCCATATAGGTGGAATATTGCTGAGTGCGGCGTTAAACAAACAAAATCAGATCTGTGTCCTAGTGGCACACAAGAAACCTATGATTATGGGTTCGAATCCTTGTTTCCCCCGATTATGTTTCTAGGTTTGTCAGTACCGTTCTTGCGGGTTACAGCAAAATAATAAACGTACATGACACACCAACGTAACAGTAACACTGCTGATAGCTCACTCAAACCACCAGTATACTCTAACTCAGTCCTTTCTCTCTCATCAAGCTGAAACCCCGTGATATAACTGGAATACTGCTCCCTCCCTCACTCCGGTCTAGTCCCGTCTTACGATGCCACATGTACATTTGTAGGTATAAGTTAGGTGGATGTAAGTGTTGTTTTCTCATTAACTGTGGCAGTGGGTAGTCTATAGGTTACAGCCTTCGCCCATCATGCTTCGTTTCGTGTTCAATTCCCCATCTGGGTATACTGTATGTGAACTCCCTTCAAGGGTTCTTCCGCTGTACTATGGAATCGATAACCCTCTCGGCTACTCAATTTCTAATCAGCAAAGTTTGGCGAAATGTTACTACTTCAATAATCGCCCAACACTTTCTACAAAAATGGTTACATACCTATATTCCTCCTTATTGTTCGCGAAACATTCCTAATGTTCAAATACGTATCAGAGATGATCGGATACATGACGGAATATAATGTAATTGATGTATGTACTTTACAAGATGAACAATTATAATATATACTGTTATAATAAAATCAAATCTAAACATTTTTCATAAAGTTAATTGCCATCACGGAAACTGACGTTACAATAACGTCGCTTTCAGCGAAGCCGATTAGATCGTAATAATTGAAAAAAGACAAATATAGTAGATTTTGATGAACTTGATCAAAAGCTGATTTATCAGGTCGATCATTAATATGGTATGAATGGTTCTGATAAAAGGACGGCTCTGAGTCTCGTGAGAATGTGACCATGTAATCACGCCATCTGTTTACGGCGTTCAGAATGACCTTTTTTGAACTCATTACTCAACGTGAGGCCGCAGAGAATACGAAGTCACTAGGAATGCATAGATAAGCGATGACCATGAAAGGGAAATTGATGCGTAAACTCATAAAAGGAAGAGGTAAAACGATTTGATTAAGGTGGGATAAAAAGCTCTCCCTCCAACTGACGTTGAATATACGTCACTTAGCCTCACTGGGACATAGCGTTTTTATGAATGTTTTGCAGACAAGTCCACGTTACTATCTGGTACTTCATCTGATTTCAAATCTTTCTTTGATTTATGCCTATATAACTGTCACCAATGCTAGCAACAATATACCGTTACCAATTATTTATCCATATATAGTGACTACGTTTATAAATAACCTCTGGATATAACGAACTGTTCCGGACACTTGCTGTATACTTCAATCACAATGTGTATAACGAACTACGGTTCTTTCGAACTAAATTTTGCGGTCCCCTTGAGTTTGTAGTAACCATAGTTAACTGCATGTACAGGTCTTTTTAAATACGATTTTTTCGTTTCTGTAAATATGTAAATAAATTAGACCCAATATCATTTTCGTAATTCAAACGAATCTCAAAAGGGCATTACAAAATATCATCAGTTCATATATCACTTATCAGAAACATTTAAATACAGAAATGACGCTTCACTCTAATCTAAATGTAGATTATCAGCAACTAAATCACCGACTTCTTGCCTCCTTTCTGCAATAGAATTTTAGGTACTTTAATTTCACCTGAATTACATGGCACAAAATGCACATGCAGTTCAGTTTTTTCAAATGAGGTGAGATGTTTTTCTCATCTGTAGCTTTTGTACTACATGAAATGTCCGAGCAACATGTCGCACTGTATTTATGTTCATGCAATTTTATTCATGTCAACTTTCACTATGTAATTTAAATCTGAACAAATATTTTGTAATTTTGAAGGCGTATTTTAAGCCAGTGTATACTTTCAAGCAATATGTACATAGTCAGTACTGTTCTGATCCAAACATAACGTCCACATCTTTGGCTATATTGACCAGACAAGCATTTGCCAATCTTAACGAATTGGCTTGTCTAGATGAGAAAATGGAATGAGTACTGTAGTTACCCTTTGGACAGCACCCTTTGCTCGTTTTCCCTCTACGACCACACATGGAAGACAGACATTATCCACAAGTATGATATAGATGATGAAAATGAGAAACGAATGCCTGCCAGGATGCGGGTCAGGTCTCAGATCTTGCCCCGGACATAGATGAGGCGTTGATCGTGGAAAGAGCTATAACTCAGCCGTCGATTGGACATTTGTCACATCAAATCGACATCGCTTACTGCTGCAGTAATACGAAAAGCCGCCGTCTTAGACGCTGCTGGCAGTGAGGATGAGCTCTGATATCTGTGTTGCTCTTTAGTTACGTTGCATCGTGTTAGGGGCGGTGGGTTGGCCTAGTGGTTAGAGCGTTCGCTCGTCACGCTGAAGACTCGGGTTCGATTCCCCATATGGGTACAATGTGTGAAGCCCATTTCTGGTGTCCTCCGCCGTGATATTGCTGGAATGTTGTTGAAAGCGACGTAAATACAAACTCACTCACCCACTCATTTGTTTGTTCTTTAGCGCTGGCGGTCTGTATGTAATCGCGTCTGGACTAGACAATCCTGCGATCAACAGCATGAGCATCAATCTACGCAATTGGGATAGGGTGACATGTGTCAACCAAGTCAGCGAGCCTGACCACCCGATCCCTTTAGTCGCCTCTTACAACAAGCATGGGTTGCTGAAGGTCCATTCTAACCCGATGTTCACGAGTTGATGGTTTCTGTGTCACATGGAGGGTATGGTGCAAACAAACCTTGTAAAACAAATACTACTAGCAAATCTTGGATTTGAACCATGGTCATAATTCTCTGGCATAGGCAACCCTGTATAGTTGACCCCTGAGACGACCTCACCCCGTGTACGTCGGAACCACGGCAATCATCCGATGGTACACAAAACCTCAAGAGGGATAAACGAAAAAGTATATTTTTATGAAGAGAGGTGTGATTGAAGACTGAACAGGCGCATATCTCATTATGTTATTGTAAAGAAGATATTTAAGCCCAACGCTGAAATCTTAAGCTAAACACCAGATGTGGCAAAAATGTTTGGACGTTTCCCGTTTGTATACACATTGTAGCCCTCGGGATATCAGCTCAGATTGGTTTTAAAGT